AAAGAACTAGGGAACTTACCTGAGTGTATCCTTTTCTAATTTAAATTAAAGTTGGAGTCTTGATATTGTTTGATAGCCACCTTGTGGCCAAAACTCAGGCTGCATGGTCATGAGTCACAGTCCACCCTGACCACCACCTTGTCAAGGCCCAGACCCAATCCTGTAACCCTTTTCTCTCTTCAATTATGTACATATACTAATCATGTCTTTTCCCTGCTTCTGAAGTCCTGCCTCCAACAGTGACAAATCTATCTACCATCAATCATGATTTTGTGGTGATTTAAAATCACATATAATTAGCCACATGGCCATGATTCAGCGGACTCCATTCAGCTCTCATGCTGATGGTTTCCTTCATTCAGGATGATTTTCTTTGTTTTGTCTTTGTTCTGTCGAAGGCTTGATAAAAGTGTCTTTATTGAACCTATTTGAATCTAGAGTCTCTTTCTCCTGATATAGTTCTACCAAACCAAAGAGGGCTCATTGTACTTGAAAGCAATTAACACGAAATTTCCACCTTTGTTCCCCTTCCACAAGTGTCCCCACCCACACAGGCACTTCACAGGGAAAACATTTGTGGCCTGCAGGCAGGAGAATAGTGTTACTGTTTTGGCCTGCCTAGCATCCATCCAATTCTGGTAGCACAGATTGGTTCTATTTGTGTTATTATTGTGAGTCCACATAATTCATGTGGCTCAGAGGCTGGACATGTGACCATTTTGGCCAGTCAGTCTCTCATTCTTCTGGTCATAATGACCAGTTCAATGGTGGACTCATGACCCAGGTCAGACTAATCAGAATCAAGCTCTTGGGCGAATTAAGAAACCCTTTCCTTCCCCTGAGGTTGCTAATTAGGTGAAAGAAAACACAGAGATGCTGGTGGCCAGCTCTGTTTCCATATGGAAAGAACTTTCCTATGAATGATGCACTGATTAAGGCAAGCAGATCTGAGAGATGGAAAGCAACAAAGTACCAAGGTCAGGGTTTAGCACTTAGATTCAGCTATGCTCAAATCTGCCCAACTCTGTCCTTGAACTTTTCAGTTGTACCAAGCTTTAAAGGGAGCTCTGGTAGCATAGTGCCTAAGGCACTTAACCAGAAGGCTGGTGGTTCAAACTCACCAGCCACTCCTCGGAGGGAAGGTTGGGCAATCTACTTCTATAGTGATACTGCCTCAGCAACCCAAGGAGGGGTCGCTATGAGTCCGGTCCAACTCAATGGCACATATCAACAACAAGAAGCTTTAAAATTCCCTTTCCAACATTTTTTTTCCCATAAATAAACCTAATATTTACAAATAAAAATATCTTGCAAAAAATTGGAACTGGATCCAGCAATGTTTCTGCAACAGGGAAGGTTGGTGGCATGTTCAAAGATGAAATCAAAGGGTTCAGTAGTCAAAAAAGTTTAAGAACCCAGAATTGGACAAAGTTTGAAAGACTTCTTTATTATAGGATTTCTCAGAGCCTTTAACTTGCTGACATGAATGTTGAGTCCTCAAAAGGCTCCAAAAACCAAATTCATGCTGTCAAGTTGGTCCTGACTCATAGTGACCCCTCCTTGGGTTTCCAAGGCGGTATCTCTATGGAAGTGGGTTGCCTAGTCTTTCTTCCGAGAAGTGGCTGGTGGGTTTGAACCGCTAGCCTTCGGGTTAGCTGTCAAATGCCTTAGGCACTACACTACCAGAGCTCTCTCGAAAGAGTAGATGTAGCAAATAATCCTTCCAACACTCATTTGACTGCTTACGATCAGTTTGCTAACTGATATATACTTTGGCACGTGCTTAGTTTAAATAAGAGGGATTTTAGGAGGAAACAGCAAATACTTGCAAATCAATCTAACAGCAGGGATTTAACAGGATGATTAAACAAAATAAAACAAAAAACTTCCAGATACGTTCTGGACTCACCCTAGATACATCCCAAATGGCAATGCTTCTACACTAATACTAATTTTGATGGCCTATAGGAAAACCCTGGTGGCCTAGTGCCTAAGGCATTTGACTGCTAACCAGAAGGCTGGAGGTTCAAACCCACCAGTCACTCTTTGGAAGGAAGACTGGGCGAACTACTGTCATAGAGATACTGCCTCAGAAATCCAAGGAGGGGTTGCTATGAGTTGGAGCCAACTCAATGGCAGTGAGTTTGAGTTTTTTTTTTTTTTTTCTTTTTAATAGAAAAACCCTTAGTTATTTCCAGAAGTTTAAATAATGGTCTTCAAATTCATTGGCCAAAACAAAACTCAATCTCAACTGAAAAGATACAAACAAAAGTAATCTCAGGATATCTCTGCTATCATCAGACTTGACCCTCTTACTAACTATTTCAGTTTTATTATATAATTGTAGTATTTTAGGTGAATTGACACATCACACACAGAAGAAGCCTGGACAACAACGTTTGTAATTTTATAATTATTTTAATTACCAGGTTTACGTTAACAGTCACTTGATGAATTTTTTTTTTTGTTTGTTTGTTTGTTTTTTAAATCTCAGCTAAACTCAAAACACAGTTTTCTTCACGGTTCAAACCAAACAGCTCTTGACGTTCCAGAGCTGCCTCACAGCTACCACAGATCACAGGAGATTCACTGTCTGTCCATATGCACCAGACACAGAACTGAACACCCACACACCATTTTCCAGAGAGGGAAATTACAATGAGAGTCAGCTGTCCGGGACAGTCCAGGGGTATATCTGAGACTCAAGCTGGAGTTTTGTAGGAGAGAATGCCTGGGAACCTTGTGGCAAGCACCAAAGTTAGGAATGCACACCCAATATATTTGGAAGGGATTCTCAGGGTGAGCAAAAATCCTGGCTTAAGATTTAGGCTTTTGGAGCACAGCATGGCTTTCTGGGTGTAGTCATGAAGTAAAAAGCTTAATGATGATTAGATTCTGAAGAAAAGCAATTTTAGGGATTACTACAGCTCTGCCATTTTTAGGGAATTTAGAATTAAAATAAATTCTTCTACTAGGGTAGCAGATTTAAGAGTTCACAAACACCTTTTCAACCACCTTGATCTGTGGTCCTCTCTGACCATCAAGATTTAGAAACAATGTGGGAAAGTTTGGAGAGATGGCAAGGGCATCCTTAGAGAAAGGCTAGGCTAAGAGATGAGATGGGGAAACAGCTCAAGAGGGAGGCGGAAGATTCCCCACACCCTCCCACACTTGGATGTCAGTGAACTCTTGCTGGGCTACTGCTCATTATCATTTTTTTCTAAACCTTTTGTGTAAGGCTGTTTGATGTGCCTTATGGAACAAAACAAATTTGATCTAAATTTTCACTTAATAACAACTCACCCAGAAATAAAAGTAAAGAAAATAGTGGGAAATGTTATGGAGTTCTTATGCTGACAAAGTTAGCAATGGTACATGAAGAAATGGAGGCTTCCTTAGATAACGTTGCCAATCCTGAAGGCATTATGGGGTTGTTTCCACAGCGTGGAAACCTGTGCAGAATATAAAGTGGTCGAATGCTTCATTTCAGAAGTCCCAAATGTAATGAAGATGCCTCATTGGCCATGGAAGATGTATTTTTATGGCACAGAGAAGTAATAGAGGGAAGAGTTGGGCTTAAGCACTGAGTAACACTAGCAAATGGTGCACAAGTGTTTATCTATGTGTTTTATCCTCCATCTGGTGGTTGTGGCTGGTACTGCTACATATCCTAATGTATAGTGCAGCCAATGAGGTATATATATATATATATATATATATATATATATATATATGCTTCAGATCTGACAAATTCCTTCTGCAGGCAACATTGTCTTCTGAGTTCTATGCAAGAATTATAAATTAAGAGCTACATCCTTTCCTTCACTTAAGTTTCCCTTAAAAGAAAGGCACCCTGAAAGCCTGAAAATATTGAGATTCCCTATCATTAGGGTGACCAATCCTTTTCATGATTAGAACAGAAATTAGCTTGCTAGTGGAAATTCTCTTCCTTTGCTATTTCCAAATTCCTCTGGATCCATTTTGTTCTCTTTTTTAATCTTCAACTTACTAAATTTTGTGTCAGAGATCATGGTTTCTCCTAAGCACTTAAAAGATGTTTGAGGCCTGCTCTTTTCTTCAAAGTACTTAGTACATAGGATTATGGGTTCTACCAAATGGATTCTCCCAAGAACAGAGGAAGTGTGATCCCAGGTTGATTTTTTTCCACCTGTATATGGGTCTCTTAGTTCTACAAATCCTCATCTCACTCAAAGAACTTCCTCCAAAACTGAACTTTCAGAAGTGGCATGATGGGGAAGAGGACCTTCAACTGTGACAGACAAGGCCAATGTCAGCACTCATGCTAAGTCCTCTATATGCCTCATCAGAATGATTGCATGCCACATCTACTCACTTTCAAAGACTGTAGTACCAATGTTAATAATAATAATAATAAATTCCCCAAAGGATCTGCTAATGGAAGGGGATACAGGTGGCTTAGAATTGAAAAATGGAACCACAGTCACAATATATGCTCCCTCTGCTCTAGATCAGCTTTCCCAAAATCTTGGTTGACTCTCATTTAAGCTGAGATTACAAATTGGTAGTAAAACTTAAGGGGCATCTAAAAAAAACAACTTTCCATAAGAAGATCCTATTCAAGAGGATATGTGCTGGGGTCTCAGGGATCAAGAGAATCCAGCCCTCACCATTGGCAAGAGAGAATCTTCATTCACCCCCATCTGAGCTAACATCTTAGTCTGGTGATGCCAAAAGCATACTACTCACTTCAGTTTGCAAAGACAGGAGAGTGAGAGGTTATATCCATGTGTATAAAGGGAGGAGTTTATTTAAGCTGTGGCTGCCCTCACCCAAGGGCCTGTGCTATTCCCCCCACACAGCTGTTTTCTGGTAAGAGCACCAAAGAGGCAGGCAGGGCAAAAGAAAGAGAGCGTCATTGGCTCTCTCCTCACTGTCCTTCCAACCCAGGAAAGAAAAGAACTGGCAAGAGGCCTGAGCAAACACTGGCATGATCAAGCAGGTGGAGGAAATGGTTAAGTTTGGCATTTTAATAAAATGTTCAAACAATTAAAATCTATGAGGAGGTGACATGACAAAGGCTGAACTCAAAGACAGCCTACTTCTCCGCTGGTCTGAGGGGACCCTGATGAAGTGACAGCTGCCACAAGTGACCATCTTCCATGGAAACAAAAGTATGTCATCAACACAATACACAACACCCCTTGCTCCCCCAGCCCACCCGCCTCCCTCATCCATACCCAATCCCAGTCCCTCTGTGCTCTCCAACTTGCTTTGGGCCCCCACCACCCATACACCCCAATTAACTTGTGTCCCTTTTGTTCATTTTCCTGACCTCCCAACTTTGTCTGTCCCCTTGTCTTAAGATGCAGCACTACACACGCTCTCAACACTATATAGCAGACTCTTGTACCTTAGTGGCCTGTCTGATAGCATGCATGTAAATGGGGGAGGGCATCAAACAAATCAAGGCTATGCATCAACAGAAAACAAAGCAATATTTGTAAAGCTAGGCAAGCGAGTGTAACATTGGAGAAACATAAGGCTTGAGGCTTATTGATTCTTTAGATCACAATTGTTTGGATTCGCTTTCCTTCTTAAATATTGATGTACCATTTTGGCTTCAAAAAATCTCTTCTTGTTTCACCCCTCTCTTTGGAAGGAGTGACTTAACTCAGGGATGTGATGTTAGAACGGCCTCCGGGGGGCGCCACGATGCGCTTGCTGGCTGAGCGGACCCCTTCATCCACTTGGGTGCCTATAGTTGGAAACAAATTCCCAAAGAAGAAAAAAGAAGAGAGAGGAGGAATACACAAGAGAGAAAGTGGATTAATTTTAAGAGTGCAAGATATTAAGTGCCCTCCTGGTCTCATCTCCCAAGAAACTTTCATTCCAGCCTGGCAAGTCCTCTAGACTTTTCATACCCTTCCCAAAATCAACCTATGCCCAGAAAAGCTAGCTTCTTGTCTAGATTTCATTTGACCCTCAGTGTGGTGCTAATGCTAAGAAGAAAACAATGATAAATGATATGAAAAATAACTGCTTACAACCATTGTGCCAGCCAGTGTTTTAAGTGCTTATCAGATTCTCTCATTTAATCCTCACAACTATTCTTTGAGACCAAACCAAAGCAAACCCACTGCCATCTAGTTGATTCCGACTCATAGTGACCCATTAGGGCAGAGCAGAACTGCCCTATAGGGTTTCCAAGGCTGTAAATCTTTACGGAAGCAGACTGCTTCATCTTTTTCCCTCAAAATGGCTGCTAGGTTTATACTGCTGACCTCTGGTAGTATAGTGCCTAAGGAACTTAAGGCTGGTGGTTCAAACCCACCAGCCACTCCTTGGAAGGCAGGTTGGGCAATCTACTTCCATAGTGATACTGCCTTGGAAAGCCAAGAAGGGGTCACTATGAGTAAGGTCTGACTCAACGGCACATACCAACCACAACAAACTTTAGGCTAACAGCTGAATGCCCTAACAATTGTACCACCAGAGTTCCTTATTCTTTGAGAGAAGCACTGTTATTATCCCCATTTTTCAGAGGAAGTAACTGAGGCTCCAAGAGGTCAGGTAATTTGCCCAATGTCTCACAATTTGATGGGAGGATAGCCAGATCCCTGTGGCTACAGCACAAAAGAAAACAGCACTATATCCTTGTATCGATTCAAAGGAAGCTTCTAAAAGTTTAAGGAGTAAGGCAGCCACAGAGCAATGAAAAATGGCAAAAACACTAAAAAATTTCTTGTGACTAGCAGAAATGTGAACTCAGGCAAAGTCATCTTGAAACTTTTAGCCCTAGCATGTCTCCATTATCTATCATTCTCCCTGGTTTCCTGTTTCTCCCAACCTTTACCCCTTTTTCCTTCCCCATCTGCTGTAATTTTCTCTTTAAAGATCTCCTTCCATTCTTGTTATCTCACTTCCCCTACATTTAAATTGTTTGTAATAGAGACTTATATCTATATTTAGTTTTCCACCATCATGAGACTATTGGCTTTGGAACAACTGAATAATTACATTCTTATTTTTTTCTCTGTTATATTTCTTGGTAGCTAATACTGTACATAAAAGCTCTGGAGGTTCTGTTGTTAGAGCACTGGGCTGCTAACCAAAAGGTTGGCAGTTCAAACCTACCAGCTTCTCTGTGGCAGAAAGATGAGGCAGTCTGCTTCCATAAAGATTTACAGCCTTGGAAACCCTATAGGACTGTTCTACTCTGTTCTATAGGGTCGCTATGAGTTGGAATCAGCTCAATAGCATTGGGTTTAATACTATACGTAATATAATTATCATCATAGCAGCCAATGTGGTACACTGAGCCTTCTCTAAGTACCATGTACTGGGCTATGTGCTTTCCATGCATTTCTCATTTAAATTTCAGGAGAACTCTATGAAGTAGGTAGCATCACCATCTGCTTTTCACAGTTGAGGAAACCAGGACTAAGAAACAGGGACTTGCCTAAGAACCCGAGGTAGGAATCAAATCTACACCTGTCAGATTCCAAAGGTCACTGTGTCACACTGCTTCACCATTTCTTATTTATACATTTTTTTAAAAAAAATAAGAGACATACATATGGAAAGAGCACTGGGCTGGAAGTCCACAGGCACAATTCGTCTATTCTAAGATTCCTCAGCCTAGGCACTGTCAACATTTTGGGCTGGACAATTCTTTGTTGTAGGGTCTGTACTGTGCATTCTAGGATGTTCAGCAACATGCCTGGTCTCTACCCACTTCCTGCTGGTAGCATTCACTCCTAGTTGTGACAACTAAAACTGTCTCCTGACATTGCCAAATGTCCCCTTAGTGGCAAAATCACCCCTAGTTGAGAACCAGTGCTCTGTGTGGCCTCCCTCTTCTAATCTGTCATATGACAAAGTGAAACCAGGAATCTCTAACCGTATGTCTAGCTCCAAATTCTTTGTCTAGACCAGCTTGTGCAATAGAAATAGAGTGTGAGCTACCTATGTAATTTAAAATTTTTCCAGAAACTACATTACACATGTCAAAAGAAACAGGAGAGGATAATTTTAATAATATATTTTACTTAACCAGTATATCCAGAATGTAATTTTAACATGTAATCAATATGAAACATTACTAGTGAGGTATTTTACTCTTTTTTTTTTTTTTGGACTGAACTTTTGAAATCCAGTGTGCATTATTATCCAGATGTGCACTGACAGCACCTCTCAATCTGGATCAGCCACCTTTCAAGTGCTCAGTAGCAACATGTAGCTACTGTCTGCATTTGGACAGAGCAGCTCCATATCTTGCTACTGTTAAATTGTTCTTTCAATATGGCTCCCATCATATTTCTTCCCCATAGGTAAGTGGCACTGAAGAGGAAAAAAGAAAAAAACCTTCTAATCTTAATTTGTAGTGTGTACCACAAAAAGCAATTGACCACAAGGTTTTTCATTATAGTTCTAAGGTCTGTGTATTTATCCATTTCATTCTCTCTCTCTCTTTCTCTCTCCTCATGTCCTGTCTCTATTTTTGTTTCTCTTTTCTTTTTGTCTTCCAGCAGCACAGAGCCAAGCACTTAGAGATACAATAAATACTTCTTAATAAACTGGTCTCCCAGCTACTTAAAAAAAAAATGGTTGAATAAAAGGAGTTAACCTTCTTAATGGAAAAATTAAGTTCCACCTAAGATGCAGAATAGCTACAAGCTTAAGGGTATGGGTGCTGGAGTTGAGCAGAACCAGTCTTGAAGAGTGTTCTCATCCCCCCAATTTACAAGCTGTTTGAATTTAGGCAAGTTAGTTAAACTGTGTAAGCCTCAGTTTCCAAATCTGTTAAATGGGGATAATGCAGTATTTCAGAGTTGTTCAAGAACAGATCAATGTTACAGCTAACATGTGGTATATATTACGATGATGGTAGCTATTGGCAGAGTGATTATTATTACTATCGAGGGGAGAATAAGTATATTGTACAGTTCTCCTAGTCTAATGTAGAAAATCATTATCAATTCATAACTAAAGTATCCCCACCCTTCAAGTTGGATCAGTTTAAACAGAATGTATTATCCTTTCAACTTGACTCTTTAACATGACTATGACTTGTCTTATTCTATCCATGGGATTCCTTGATTCAGAAAACTACCTTGCTTGCTCCAGAAACCTTCTCACTAGAGGGTGATGCTGGCATTTGACTGGATAGTGTGTTCAGCTTTAGCTCTTAGGGTCACCCAACTTCAGAGCATTGACTTTCCCCCTCTCTTTCCCCTCTTTCTCACTAAAGGTCATGATCAGCTTCTGTAACTCACCAGACAGGCTAAATCCTGACTGATGGAGATTCCTCACAGGTGGGTTGGGCCGCGTAGGAGAGCCTCGTGTGGAGCCCGCAGGGGTTCCTCCTTTGGGGGTGGTGGTCAGGTCAAACACTGGTCCATCATACATGCCCCTCGGGACTGCGTGTAGGTCTGCCATCTGCCACCGGAGAAAACACATCATCATTTATTCATTCAACAAATTTTCATTAAGGGTCCATTCTAAGGAGCATAAATACATCAGTGAATTACATATGTACAGTGGGAGCTTGACTCGTGTCTTATCTTTGGCCAGAGGTGGGGCAATGAGGACACAGTGCCAAAGGAGCCCAGCAGCACGAGATGGATCATCCCCAAACTCCAAGGTGCTAGCACAGAACCTTCCTTCTTTTCTGAGTGACTTCAGTGCAAGCACAGAAGGAAAGCTCATCACACTTGCAGATCATAATGATTCAGGAGGGACAATGCCTCTATATATACTCTCCAAAAACCTTGACCAATGACTCTAGATCATCAAATTGTCTTTGGCTCTAGAACCTAAATCATAAGAATAAAAATACAGAGCCAATACAAGGTAAATTTGAGTTTCATTTTCTTTTCTATTAGGCCAAACCTGAAGTGTGGAATTTTACCCCATGCTCGACAACATCGAGGTCACTGATGAATAGATAAAGATTGGAAACACATATATGTTTTAAGCGGTGGGTCTGGCTCATTCTGTGTAGGTCTGGGAGCAGAATTAATTAAACTGGTTGGTCAACTTTAGGGAGAAAGACTTCAGCCCAGCAGAAAGAAATTCCTTCTCAGAATCAGAGCTGTTCAGCTGCCACATGAGATGGGGAATTGCCCTGTATTGCAAATGTCCACATAGAGCTGGGTAACAACTTATTGATATCACTGAGTGCTCTAGGGTTGGGGGCACTTAACATTTTGAGTTTCTGTAAACTTCTCTTGAGTGGACACTCTAGTGTACACCCAGATTCTATTCCCTAGCTCCTCACAGCTACCATGACTGAACTCATTTTCCCAGCTGCTGGGAATGTTGGTAGCTGAGCCTGTCCTGACAATTTTCATGAGCTGATCATCATGGTCTTGCTCCTTGCTTAGAGACAGCCCACCTCCAATGACTAGTAGGGGGAGGAGAAGGGAGTGAATGTAAGACCCTGCCTTGTTTCCCAAATACAAAACAACTCTCAAGGACCATCCCAGTTCTGACTACTCCTTCAGATTAGCTGAGGCCTCTCTGCTTCCATCACTTGCTCACAGGAGTTGATCCTGAAAGCAAATCTCCCTTTCAGAGTCTTTTTCAGGGGATCATATTTGCAACACTCTCTCTCTCTCTCTCTCTCTCATCCTAACCCACAGAGAGGCTGGAGGCCCTGGGGTGCATCTAGGCACAGAGGTACTTAGGCTTTATTTCTTTAAACTTGTCTACAGTGACATTACAAAGTGAGTTCTTCACTCTCCTCTCCCCCCATCACCTCCATCTCATCTGTAAAGACAACTCTAACCTTATTCATTGATAAGGTCAGGACTAGTGCTCAAATTCCATATTCCCAGGGCTGAGTCTAACTCTGCTGTGTGGAGCTGTCACATTACACTAGATCCTGTGTGGTGCAAATGGTTAAACGCTTAGCTGCTAACCAAAAAGTTGGTAGTTTGAGTCCACCCAGAGGTGCTTTGGAAGAAAGGACTGGCATCTACTTCCAAAAATTCAGTCATTGAAAACCCTGTGGAGCACAGTTCTCTGACACACATGGGGTCACTGGGAGTCAGAATCCACTCAAAAGCAACTGGTACTGTGATGAAGATGACCTGGAGACTGGTGAAAGCAAAGTGGGAGAAGTTGAAATGACAGAGTGCTGGGCCTCACTCCTTAAAGGCATTAGAGCCACTCTATTTATTTGTCACATATCCCAGCTGCCAACACTCCCAGCAGCTGGGTGAGTGAATTCATATATAAGATGCTTTTCCAACCAGCAGAATTAGCTATAAGGACTACAAGTGTTTGCCCCTGTGGAGCAAGACTAAACTGGGGGGAACACGGATGGATGGGATTGGGATTGGACTGCTGGTTCTCATTTTAAGTCTTGAAGAGTAACTTAATTTTCATTAAAAAAAAACAAAACTATATATATATATAATATTCTTAGAAAACTTAAAATTATTTTAAACAAAACACTATAAGATATAGGAAAAGTCATTTGGGGAAAGCTTTCTTCAAAAGCACACTGTTGTAGTATATTATCTGTATCACTGCTGCGAAATTTCTTCATGATGTTCTAGAGAACAGAAGAAAAACTGTACTTCATAGGGTTTTCAATGGCTGACTTTTCAAAAACAGATCTCCAGACCTTTCTTCCAACGTGCCTCTGGATAGACTTGAATCTCCAACTTGATGGTTAGCAGCTGAGTGTGTTAACTATTATACCACCTATGGAGTCCCTAGAGAACACAGACCCTTGCTAATCCAATGATTATCCCCAAGCCTGAAAGGAACACAAAGTCCCTTGCTCACCACAGGCCTCCACCTGCTTCTTACCTTCCTCCTGGCTTTAATGCGCTTGTAGACATAGTCAGAGAACGGGCTGCAGGGGATGAAGCGGCCGGCCCCCTGGGTCACATGCAGGCTGCCGTCCTCCAGCATGATCTTGCCCTGACAGATGACGACCAGAGGAGCCCCACGCAGCTCCATCCCTTCAAAGATGTTGTACTCTGCTGCCTAGAGACGGGGGTGAGGGGAAAGATGTAGGTGAGGGTGTAGAAAGGAAAGAAAGAGAAATGAGGTCACCTCTTGGATCCTTGCTTTCAGTGTCACCAGGAATTGGTTCACTGGGTACACCAAGAAAAGCTTAGATGCATCTGCAACCTTTCAGTGAGCATTAAGATAGCAAGAGGTAGATGCTTGCTAAGTAAAGACATCCGAACAGAGAGAGGTGCCCAATCTTTATTAAGGTCCTCATATGGAAATAAATTTTTGTCACCTGTAGTGTTCAAAGAGCAGCTGGGTCACTGTCAGGGATGCTTGGCAGGCTTGTGTTTGGTGGGTAGGTAGGTGGGTTACATGAGGCTGAGGTACCTACCAGTTCTCAATTAAATAATGGGATGTAACACAGATTTAAGCAAAGTCCATCCCGCCAAAGATGAGATTATTTTCCTCTTTCATTATTCAACAAGTGAGAGGCATTACTGCAAAATGGTTAGGAATATCAGTTTAAGGACAAGTTGCCTGGGATTGAATCCCCACTCTACCATTTACTTGCTGTGTGACATTATGTAAGTTATTTAACTTCTCTGCACCTCCATTTCCCTATTAAATGAGAATAATAAAAGCACCTACCTGTAGAAGATTGCTATAGAGATCAATGAATTAAAATTCAGCAAACTAAAAGCACAGTACCTAAAACATAATTGCTTTAAAAATATTACCTATTTTTACTATCGTTAAGCCCCTTTCTGTTAGGCACTGGGCTGTAATTATTATCTTTCATATGAAACTCCTCATGAGGAAATCGTCAATGCTGTTCACCAATTATTTCCACTTCTTTCTCCTTCCAGGAAAGAAACAAACTATCATTGTAATTCCTTCCCACTTGAATAAGTACAGCCATCTGACTGCTTTTGGCCAATGAAGTTGAAGAGGAAGTGGTGGGAATGCTTTCATAGTCAGTGAATTAGTTACCAATTCCCATTTCTCTGCCTGCACTCATGGCATCACATGTAAAAATGGAGCCCCTGTCTATCAGCTTCCATCCTTGAGTAGTGATGATGAGCAGAGACCTCTGTTAGCCCACTTTGGGGTGTAAAGCCACTGATATTATTGGATTGCTTATTATTGCAACATATCCTTGTCTAACTGCCTTGGTACACCACATAAACAAATTCCTTCTAACCAAACGCTTCATATGCCTTTTGCATTCTATTCCATTCCCACTAGTTCCAGCCTCACCGACTGGTGGTTCTTGGCAGAGACAATCTTCACAGCATCTGGATCCCAGATGACCAGGTCACTATCAGAACCCACAGATATTCTTCCCTTGCGGGGATACAGGTTGAAGATCTTGGCAGCATTTGTGCTTGTCACAGCCACAAATTGGTTTTCATCCATTTTCCCTGTGGCCTATTATATTAATAACAATTAAAAAAAAAAAAAAAAAAGATTTGTCAATGTAGGGTCCCTGAGCTCAAAGCAGGGTGACTACAAAGTCTGAGAGATACAGAGGAGAGAGGGGCCACTGAGGTGATGAGCACAGGACCCCACAACCAGCTCCAGAATCCATGGAGCTGTCATGGATGGCTACCAGGGCAACATAGCTAAGCACATGATTCACAATGGGGGTGAAACTGATTAAAGTTCATTGCCATCAAATTCATCCTGATTCATAACAATGCTATAGGACACAGTACAACTGGCCCATAGGCTATCATCTTTACAGGAGCAGACTGCCATATCTTTCTCCCCTTGAGTGGCTGATGGGTTCAAACTGCTGACCTTTGGTCAAGTGCTTAACCACTGTGCCACCAGGGCTCCTGAAATATGCGTTGTCTCTGGATATGCACATGCATTTACTACTTATTTACCCCTTTAATTCCAAAAAGGATTATTGAGAAGTCACAGTAAAAACAAACAAGTTTATAATCTCATTCTTCATATAGGTGTTTGTACTTGCATGTGCATAGGATAAATATGGAAGAATCTTGCCCAAATGACAATCATGATTTTTCCTGGGTTATGGACTTATGAGTGATTTTTAATTTCTTTCCTGTGTATAGTTTTCTGTGGTTTCCAAATGTTTCTTCTTGAGCATGTATGTAAATTAAATTATACATATATATTTAACAATTCAGATTGTGCCAACATAAATACATAGAAATAGTCATAAACTCATAACAATGTAGGAAAAAAAAAAAAAAGGACAGAAGCTAAGCACATAAGAGACAAAAATACTTGTATTTTTCCTCTCCTTCTCAAAATAAAAAGCCTGGCAGAGTGAAAAAAGAAGTTTAAAACCTAGCTTCGAGCTTCCTGGTAGCCAAAAAAAAAAAAAAAAAAAGAAGGAAATTCAATGAACTACACTCTACAGATGAGTGAGGCACTAGTTCATTCACATGCAGTCTATTTGACTCTAAAAGGAATTGGTGTTTAGGGTTTTTAAAATAAAATACAGGGAAGCAATCAATTTAATAATAGGTTGAATATTAAGTTTACTACAATCCTTGGGAGTGTCTCTGATTTCATGGCTGTTTCTTTTCCTTAACTTGTGAAGTTAACAAGGAAATTGAAATCATACCACATTGCCAGAAGACACTGAAAGACAGCCGTTTTGGATAATCACATATCTTCAATATAGGGTTCTAACTCTTGAACAAGATGACTCCATTCCAGGCACAGACCAATTTCTTAATGTATCAAAGAGTGACTGACATCTAGTCCTCTTCAAGAAGTCACAAAATTCTCTAAACAAACACTTTAATGCACTATTTTTGCTTTAAGGATGGCTCATTCATGACCTTGGATGAAGGAAGTTTAAGTCTGGTCCCTAGGCCTGAAAAGTCTAGAAGAGATGTTCTATTCAAATCTGAGACCTCAGATTCAACATTCAGAAGGTACATTCCCAAAGAACCTGAGCCACCTGGTTTCAGACACATCCAAGCAGGTATGAGAGGCCTCATCTCCACTCCCAGCAGTCCCATCAGAGAGACATGGAAAATTATTTCTGTCACCTCTCTTGCACACAAGAAGCTCTGATCTGACCTTGGACTTTCTTGCTCTGTCCATCTTCCCATGACCTCTATCCCTTACCACAGCCTTGTCCCAGATGACAGACATCCGCTCCTCCACACCATTGGTGCCTTCGGGAATGGCTGTGAAGTTGTCTTTCCCAATTGCTTTCTGGGCAGTGCTGAAGGTGCAGTGGGCACTCCCAGAGAGTTGCAGGTCACCACTGGCAAAGAAAGAAGCTCCTTGTGAGTAGGAGAGATGGTTAGATCCACTGCAGAGGACCAGAAGTTGGTATAGTTTAGTGTAAGGCTTTGGAGTCTCACAATTTGAGTTTGGAATCCCTCCTCTAAAGAGCTTACATAACTTTTTTTTCCTTCTCTTGAAAGGGACTGGGATGAGATCATCTCTTTTGTAACAAAATGATAGGGATCCAAATGAATGATGAGACTGACTGTAAGTGCCAGAAGAGAGCAGCTGGAAACAAGTCTCCCTATAAATTTTGGTTTGTGGTTATCATGACCAGCTGTGCAAACTTAGGCAAGCGATTTAGCCTCTCTGACCCCCAGTAGCTTAATTTGTAAAATGGTGGTAATAGTCCCTCACTCATAAAGTTGTTCTGAGGAAAAAATTAGATCATCCATGCACTTTTAGCATAGTCCTTGACACAAAGTGATCACTAACTGTTATTAACCATTATTAACATTGTTATTATCTGTAACTACCATCAAATCAGCCCCAACTCATGGAGACCTATGCGTAACATGAACGATGGTGCTCCATAGGGTTGTTGTTGGCTGATTTTTGGCCTTTTTTCCTAGTCTTAGTATGTAAGCTCCACTGCAAGCTGTTCAGAAGCACAGCAACACCCAAGCCTCTACTGACAGAAGGGCATGGCTGCACATGAGGAGCATTGGCCAGGGATTAAACCCTGCGTCTCTTACATGGATCTGTGCTCAAGATTGCAAGAGCATTCTTTTATTCTTGCTCTTGAGAATATACACAACAGAACATACATAAATTCAACAAATTATACATGTACAATTCAGTGACATTGATTACTACCTTCTTTAAGTTATGTAACCATTCTCACCCTCCTTTTCCAAACTAACTCACTGTCTCTTAAGTTTCCTAACATTTCTAGTTACTGTTGCCAATTTGATCACATATAGATAGAAATAGTTCTTTAAAGAGCACAATGCTCAAAGCAGACATTTTTTACTTGTTAAGCTAAAATATTATATGGTTTAAAGAATACTTTAGGGAATATTTTTGATTTAAGGGTTAAATATTATCTCAAGGTAAAGATCATTTCTAGGGCCCATCCAGCCTTCATGGTGCTAGACTTTCTGGAGCCCATGAAAATTTGAAATTCTGTTCTGCATTCTCTCCCTTTTGAGCAAGACTTATATTAAATCTTTGATCAAAATGTTAGTAAAGGTAGCAGGCACGATACATTTCTTCTGGTCTCATGAAATAGCAGGCAGTTGTTCATGGAGGCAATTAGTCACATATTGGCCAGGGAATTCTTCTTTTTTTTTTAATTGTGATTTGGGTGAAAGTTTATAGAGCAAACTCACTTTCCGTACAGCAGTTCACATACACTTTGTCTCATGACATTGACTACAATTTACCCCAATGCAACAGCTCCTCTCACACTTCCTCCTAATAGCTACCTCTTCCCTGTGTCCATCCATCCATGCACTCCTGCCCCCTGAACTGTCTTCCTATGCATAAAGAGCCCTTCTTTCTCCTATGATTGTTCTCTCCAAGGAATGTATCTACCTAGTATAAATGTTCCACTCATATGCCTATCTTTTGTTTGGCTGGAAGCCACAGGTGTGAGTTCTATTCCAGACCCAAAGGACAGCTAGGGGCCTGCGGTGTAGGAAATTACCTGGTATGGCTTTTCTAGCCATAAGTCTTTTTAAACTCCATGGTGGAATTTGCTGTGAGCAACTGAGGAGCTCCTGATTATAAATGTTATCCACCTGGGGTATTTCTGTTGGGAGTGGCACAAAAGCAATGTTCTGGGAAGTTCGCCCTCTCTCAGGTGCTTAGAATTCTGGTATTATGATTAGCTAGTTTGGCCACTCTGCCAGGCTCAAAAGGAGGCCTCCTACAGGCAGAACTCTCTCTGACCACTGGCTGAGAAAGACATTCTGCAGAAAGAGACACATGCTCCTGAGAGACATGTGCTGCTGGGAAAGGGATGCAAGAGACACTCATTGCTGAGAGACAGACTGAGAGACTGTTGGCTGAGAGATGGCAGGCTGAGAGAGACTGATCATTTTTCCTGAACTTGAATTGTAGCCTGGTGCTTCCCTAATAAACCCCATAATCTGTGAGTTCTGTGTGGCCCCTGCAGTGAGTTATCAAACCCAGCAGAAAGGTGGTGAGTGCTGAGGGAGGAATGGCTGTTGTCAGGTTTGGTGAAAGGGCAGGAGGGAGGCAGCATGTCTGGCCTGGCAGGAATAGGCCTTGGGCTACTGATGGTGATTCTCTCTTCCTCTTGTGTGGTTAGAGGAGGTCAGAAGATGTGGCTTCCCTGCCCCTTTAGCAGGGCCATAGTCTCAGTGGTTCTACTAGGCTCTATCAGACCAGCAAATCTGGTCTGGCCATGGTATTCTTAAAGTGTTTTCCTCACTCAAGACCCTCAGCTAGCTGATGGGTGTGGCTGCTCCAGTCTCCATGCAAGTGGTCTCAAGATGTTTCCATGCAAAGCCTGCACCCACCTGGCCAGCAAGGAGTTGATATAGTCAGGAGTGGTCGGATCAGGACTCAGAGGTGGGGATGTCACAAACGCAGCTGCCTTGGCCCAGTTCTTGCTCCAGTAATGGGTTCCATCTGTACCAAGGCTGGCAGTGATAGGCTCGCCGAAGACTACATTTCCTGGAATGGGTAGGAGATAGGTTTGCATAAAGAATGTTCTGCACTGGGCCCAGCTTGGATGAGAATTCCTTCTAAGCCTACTCAGGGCTGTGACTCTGGAGTCAGGCTGCAATGGGTTTACAAATCTGTGCTCCTATCTTTTCTAACATTCTGCTTGTCTATCTGCTAAATGCAGATAATTTTGCATTTCCTAGATTAAACGAAACTACTGATGGTAAGAAGCAGTCTTATTTATCAAATTTGAAGCAAATAGAATTTGAGAGAAAGAAAATAAAACTGTATTTTGATTACAGAATTCATATTCATTTCAGAAATATTAAAAATGTAGAATAGATATGTCCTAAAATTGAGAAAATAAGGTGATGTTTATTTCTCAACTTGTGAAAATGAAAGGATTTGTCTGTCATATGTGAAGTCTGGCATGTAACAGATGCTCAGTAAATATTGATTTCTTCCTTTCCTATTCCTTCCCATTGAAAAGGCCAAAAGCCCCAATTCTGCCCACATCACTGGGAACTGCTAGAACATGCTGTTACAAGGACATGCTTTGATTCCATAGAGCAGAATCCATTTCTGTGGATGAAGGGCTGTCAATATTTTTCTCATCATGTTGGTTCCTCCTTAGCATGAGGTACGGAGTGATTTGCTCAAGGACAAGCAATGATATGGCACATAACAAAGATGCTGCTATCTCCTTGGAGCCTGCATCTGGATTAGGGACTGCCTTATCTGCCTAAACCAAGGAAAGATGAAGAGATACAATACACACTTCTAAGCTTTTGTTGAGCTTCTTAAAAATGAAAGACTGATGGAAAAGGCAATGCTGTCTCATAAAAATTGGTTGGTGTCAAGTCTCTCTGTGCCAGAATCCTGGGCCAAAGATGTCCCATGTGGCCCTGGGCTTATTTAGCTTCACATCTCAAGTTCTATACTCCAAATTCCCCTCAAGTCTAGGAAGGCAAGCAGGTTTTGCTTTGCTTTAACCCCAATCCATTGGTAATGACTGTCTAGAATTCTGCATAGAGAAGATTTCTAATAATACTCTCATCTCATTCAAAATAATTAAGATTTATTAGTGATGTCTGGGAGCTCTAGTGGCGTAGTGCCTAAAGCATTTGACTACTAATCAGAAGCCTGGCAGTTCGAACTCACCAGCCACTCCTCAGAAGGCAGATTGGACAATCTACTTCTGCAAAGATACCGCCTTGGAAACCTAAGGAGGGGTCACTATGAGTTGAATTGACTTGACAGCAGCGAGTATTAGTGAAGTCTGCCACAAACAAAAGAAGGAAGCAGCAGAAGCAATTCACATGGCAGCCCTGCTCTCTGGGTGGCAGTAATAAGGATCCACAAGTGACTGGTATTTCAAAGTTCCTCTAAATATACTCACCAAACTAAAGCATCCAAGACCATAAGGAAAGGAAGCAATGAAAGTCAAGACAAGTGCTGAAGTATTATTAAGAGAAATATAATCTCCTAAGTAGGAGAATTCTCCTTGGGTCATCTTTAGCATGGTAGAGTAGAGTAACTTGAATATTCACTTTCTTAGATGGGAGATCCTGAACAAATTATGCTTCAATTTCCTCATCTGAAAAAATAATGCCTACTTCCCAGAATGCACAGAGAAGTCTCCATAATAATAAATTTAAAGTATCTAGCACAATGTCAGGCATATAGTTGGTGCCCCTTAAACATGTATTCCTAACATTGATTCTGAGCAGCATACAAACCAGTGCTTGAAGAGTGAACATGTTGGGATTTAAAGAGTACCCCAGTCCAGAGGGAAGAGTAACCCTGCTACATTCTGTCATCCTGCTCTGAATGCTCTGGTTTCTTTCCCTTAAAAAAGGACAACTCATGTTTCTTGGCTTCAATATTAGCAGTGAGTTTTTCATCACTGAAATAATGCCTCTGGTTCCACCCTGGGGACACAGCTGCATTATTTCTTCTGGCCAGAGATGCATGAGCCGGAAGGCTCAGGGTGAGGAATTTTCCTCCATGAAGCATGAAATAAAACCTAGCATTTAAAAGAGACACCCTGTTCATGAGGCCCCCAGACCATCCTGAGAATTGGATCCCAGCAGGATGTAGGCATGTGAGGGCAAGTGTGGTTGGTGGTCATGGAGAGACAGTGGGGGTAACCTCCACATACATTTCTTTTTTTGCTTTTATTATTTCTATTTCTTTATATTTATTTTTGCTTTTCTACAGGAATGGGGAACGAACATTGGGCTATTTTCCTGGTTCTTACCAGATGACACATACTCAGGGGAGCAATCATGCCATGGCAGTTGAGACATTTAAAAGTTTGCAAAAAAACAGCAGACTTACTCTGAGTGCAGCAATGCAAGAGGTACCCATAGAATCTGCCAGCCAGGAAGACTGTCTACACAACTAGAAGACTCCCCTCCTGCAGGAAGGGGTCACCCTTTGCCAGAGGCCAGGGAGCTAACACCTAGGGAGCAGAGTCAGCTGGGACTATTTTTAGCCACTACTGTCACTCACATTCAGAGTTTGACAGACTGGTTCTGAGTTTGGTAGATGAATCAGCCCTCTGGCATCTTTCCACCACCAGAATGTCCACTGGCTCACAGTGGTAGCAATCATACAACTGGGCCTTGTAAATTCTCTTTCACAACAAAAAACAGAGCCCTTTGTCTCCAGTTCCTCAACCACACTCTTCATTTACCTAACCTCACAAATGAAACAATAAGTTTGTCATTCAGGATGAGAACCAAAAGCAGAAAATAATGCTTTGAAATGGGAATGAATTTTAGCTAAGCACAAAAGCAAACAAATGAACCCCAAGTTCATAGCTAAGGAGATAAGAAGCAGAGGTCAGAACAGAGGTGAAAAAAGCCAACGTACCATGAGGGTAGAGTGTATGGGTGGTACAATTAGTTAACCCACTGGCCTGCTAACCAGAAGGTTGGAGGTTTGAGTCCACTCAGAGGTGTCTGAGAAGGAAGGCCTGATGATCAACTTCCAAAATTCAATAGTTCAAAGTATGAGGCACAGTTCCACTCTGACATACCATGGGATTGCCCTGGGTAAGAACCAACTCAGTGGCAAATGGTCATGAAGACCATGCTGACAGACATGTTTTGGAAGTCAATTCAACTCCTTTTCTAAATTAACTGGCAATAACCTACATGGCTTAGGCTAACATATAACCATCTTCATGCACTCTGTTCTCAATCCTGGCCAGTAAGAATATGCTGTTACTGGTTCAGGGATGTGCACATGACCCAAGCCAAGACAATCACAATCCTCCTAGGGACTTTTGCTTGTGCTGCTGGAATAGGTATATTCTACTATCCCATCAAGATCTGTTCTGAAGTACAATGCTGTCAGGATAATATCTATATGCCTACAAGGAAGACCAGTTAATATGACTATTATTCAAATTTATGCACCAAACCACAAAAGCCAAAGATGAGGAAACTGAGGATTTTTATCACCTTGTGCAGTCTAAAACTGAATATGTAATCAGGATGTGTTAATTATCACTAATTCTGAAATGCAAAAGTTGGAAACAAAGAAGAATCACCAGTAGTTGGAAAATTTGGCCTTGGTGACAGAAATAATGCTGGAAATCACATGATAGAATTTTGCAAGACCAATGACTTATTCATTGCAAATATCTTTCTTCAACAATAAAATGGTGGCTATACACATGGACTTAGCCAGATGGAATACAAAGGAATCAGACTGACTACATCTGTGGCAAGAGGAGATGGAAAAGCTCAATATCGTCCGCCAAAACAAGGCCGGGAGCTGAATGTGGAGCAGACCATCAACTGCTCATAGGCAAGTTCAACTTAAAGTTAAGGACAATTAAAACAAGTCCATGAGAGCCAAAACACGACCTGGAATATATCCCTCCTGAATTTAGAGACCATCTAAAGAATAGGTTTGATGCATTGAACACCAATGAACAAAAACTAGAAGAATTGTAGGATGACATCAAGAACATCATCCATGAAAAAGGCAAGAGGTCATTACAAAGATGAAAAAAGAAGAAAAGACCAAAATGGAGAGAAGAGACTCTGAAACTGGCCTTTAAGTGAAGAGTAGCTAAAACAAATGGAAGAAATGACAAGATAAAAGAGCTGAACAGAAGATTTCAAAGAGCAGCTCAAGCAGACAAAGCCAATTACTATAATGAAATGTGCAAAGACTTGGAGCAAGAAAACCAAAAGGAAAGAACATGCTCAGCATTTCTTAAGCTTAAAGAACTGAGGAAAAAAATTAAGCCTTGAGTTGCAATATTGAAAGATTCTATGGGCAAAACATTGAATGATGCAGGGAACATCAAAAGAAGATGGAAGGAATTCACAGAGTCACTGTACCAAAAATAACTGGTTGATCTTCATCCATTTCAGGAGGTGGCACATGATCAAGAACCAATGGTACTGAAGGAAGAAGTCAAAGCTGCACTGAAGGAATTGATGAAAAAAACCTCCAGGAATTGATGGAATTGAAATATTTCAACAAACAGATGCCCCTCTGGAGACAGTCACTCGGTTATGCCAAGACATTTGGAAGATAGCTGCCTGGCTAACTGACTGGAACAGATCCATATTTGTACCAATTACAAAGAAAGGTGATCCCACAGAATGTGGAAATTATCAAACAATATCATTAATATTGCACACAATTAAGATCTTCCTTAAGATAATACAAAAAATTTTGCAGCAATATACTGACAGAAAACTTCCAGAGGTGCAAGCTGGATTCAGAAGAGGACGTGGAATAATCATAGCTGCTGTCAGGTGGATCTTGTCTCAAGGAAAAGAATACTTTCTGGTGAAAGATGTTTACTTGTGTTTTATTGACTACTCAAAGGCATATGAGTGTGTGGATCATAACAAATTGTGGATAATGTTGATAAGAATGGGAATTCCAGAACACTTAATTGTACTCAGGAGAAACCTGTACATAGACCAGGAGGCTGTTGTTCAGACAGAACAAGGGGACACTGCTTGGTTTAAAATCAAGAAGGGAGTGTGTCAGGGTTGTATCCTTTCTCCATACTTATTCAATCTATATGCTGAGCAAATAATCCAAGAAGTTGGATTATATGAAGAAGAATTTGGCATCATAATTGGAGGAAGAATCATTAACAACCTGCAATATGCTGATGACACAACTTTGCTGAAAGTGAGGATGACTTGAGGCACTCACTGATGAAGGTTGAAGAATACAATTTGCAGTATGGATTATCTCTCAATACAAAGAAAATGAAAATCTTCACAACTGGACCTAGAAGCAGCATCCTGATAAATGGAGAAAAGATTGAAGTTGTCAAAGACTTCACATTACTTGATTCTACAATCAACACCAATGGAAGCAGCAGTCAGGACATTAGACAACATATAGAACTGGGCGAGTTGGCTGCACTTTCAAGTGCTAAGGAGCAAAGATGTCTCCTTGAGGACTAAGGAGCACCTGACATAGCCATGATATTTTCTATCATCTCGTACGCATGTGAGAGCTGGACAATAAGTAAGGAAGACTGAAGAAGAATTGATGCTTTTGAGTTGTGGTGCTGGTGAAGAATGCTAAAAGTACCATGGTCTGCTAAAAGAAATAACAGGTGTGTCCTGGAGGAAGTGCAGCTGAAATGCTCCTTGAAGCGAGAATGGCCAGGCTTCATCTCACTTATTTTGGTCATGTTATCAGAAGAGACTATTCCCTGGAGAAGGATGTCATGCTTGGTAAGGTGGAGGGTCGATGAAAGAGGGGAAGGCCCTCAGCAAGATAGATTGACACAGTGGCTGCAATGATGGGCTCAAGTATACTGTGAGTTATGTTTGTGTGTCAACTTGGCTGGGCCTGGTTGAGTGACTGGGCAGCTGGTGGTAGTTATTCCCCATGATGAGACTGGCAATCAACTCCATGGTGGGATGTACCACAAGCAGCTGAGTAGCTGCCTTTGGGATGTGGTCTGCTTATATAAGGAGAAGCTGTGAGAATGGTCTCTAGTCTGTGGCACCCTAGGACACTGCATGTAGTCATGTCATTGCTCAGAAGCCTGCTATGCTCTGCCGACCCTGAGACTTACAATGAACTTAAGTTAATGGACTGCCATATGGTTTGGTAACATTGGGACTGTGCCATTTTTACTTATCAACCTTTGGCTTCTCAGCCTCAGCAGCCAGCAGCTGTCTGAGTAAAGGAATGCCTCTAGCTCCAGTAGGCCAGGAGCAGGAGGCAGAGCTGGACCCCAAGGTTGAGGGGCTTTCACCCAGCCCCTAGAGCCTGGCGCTTTGAACTTGGAGACCTCTAGCCTCCAAACTGTAAGAGAATAAACTCCTGTTTGTTAAGGCCATCCCATTTGTGGTGTATTCCTCTCAGAGCGGCACTAAGTAACCAGAACATATACCAAGGATCACGGAGCTGGGTGGTGGTGGGACTGTGTGGTGTTTCATTCTTCATTCTGCTGTGCACAGGCTCGCTATGAGTCGGATATGACTTGACAGCACCTAATAACAGCAACAACAACAACCATCCCATCGAAGACTACAGAATTCAGCATGGATTACACCTCAACATAAACAAAATATAAACTTCCACAACTGATCAATAAGCAACATTATGATAAACGGAGAAAAGATTGAAGTTGTCAAGGATTTCAATTTACTTTGATCCACAATCAACACCCATGGATGCAGCAGTTAAGAAATCAGAAAAAAATATTTCACTGGGCAAATCTGCTGCAAAGACCTCTTTAAAGTGATAAAGAAAAAAGATGTCACATTTTGAAGACTATGGTGCATCTCACCCAACCTATGGTATTTTCAATAGCCTCATTATGCATGTTAAAGCTGGACAATGAATAAGGAAGACTGAAGAAGAACTGATGCATTTGAGTTGTGGTATTGGCAAAGAATATTGAAAACACTATGGACTTCCAGAAGAACAAACAAATCTGCCTTGGAAGAAGTACAGCCAGAATGCTCTTAGAAGCAAGAATGGCCCAATCTCATCTCATGTACTTTGGTCATACTGTCAGAAGGGACCAATATCTAGAGATGGACATCATGCTTGGTAAAGTAAAGGGTCAGCAAAAAAGAGGAAGACCTTCAATGAGATGGAGTGACAGTGCCTGCGATGGTGGGCTAAAACACAGCAACAACTGTGAGGATGGCACAGGACTGGGCAGGGTTTCATTCTGTTGTACAAAGGGTTGCTACAAGTTGAAACTGATTTGAAGGCACATAACAACAACTTCCCCATAATGCCCCCACCAAGTGGTTAGGACATTGGATACCTCCTGGCATTTATTTTTGTTATCATTCAGCCTGCATTTCCCTGAAAATGAGGTCAATGGAAAAGAAAGCAGAGTTAAGAAAGGAAGGAGAGAACATTGTTTTTATTTTTGTTAAGTACTGTCAAGTCAGCTCCGATTCATAGCAATCTTATGCACAACAGAATGAAATATTGCCCGGTCATGCATCATCCTCACAATATTTGCTATGCTTAAGCCCATCATTTAAACTCCTTGATATATAGCCATGCCTGAAACACCTACAAATGATAATTTATTTTTGTTTAAGGCAGTTGGAGTTAGAGTTTTCACTTTTGTACTCAAAATAATTTTGTCCATTTATAAAACTCAGATAATGTGATTCAACAATGAAAGGTCAAACAAGATATGATTCCAGCTACGACATCTTGGGCAAAGCACTTTACCTTCCTGAGTCTCAATTTACTCATATGCTAAGTGGGAGAAATCCTGCGATCCTGACATTCCTGTAGGATGTGAAGAGAATCAAATGAGCCAAGATGTATGAGAAGCTTCCTAAAGAGAAATGCAAGGGGTGGGGGTGGGGTGGTGGACATTGCCATAAAGTCAATTCTGAGTCATAGTGACTCTGAAGGACAGAGTAGAACTGCCCCAGTAGGGTTTCCAAGGCTGGAAATCTTTACAAAATCAGACTGCCACATCTTTCTCCCATGGAGTACCTGGTAAGTTCAAGCAGCTGATGTTTTGGTTAACAGCCCAGTGCTTAACCACTGTACCACCAGGGCTCCTTTTAAGAGCCAAATAGTCACCATTTCTAGAGGACAGACATGGAAGTAAGTAGCTATATGACATGACTGATAAGCCTAGATCTAGAGAGCCAAAATCACCTTTCTTCCTGGCTTGTGAGATGAGGTCAGCTGCACTCTTGCTCATGACCTTTGTGATGTAGAGAGGGCAATTGGTTTGGCTGGCGATGGTAATGGCACGGAACACAGCCTCAGCTTCCAGCTGCAAAAAAACAAAAAAAAAGTTTCTAGGAGTTGACAAGGAAGATAAGCCTCTCACACCCGCCATGTCTCTGGTTTAAACACAAACCATGAGAATGAAGTAAAGTGCAGAGGTTAAGAGCCTAGGATCCAAACTCTAAACCTACCACCTCCTAGCCATCACACTTAACTTCTCCCAGTGTAAAACGCACCTGAGAATAGTATAGCTTAAGGTTGTGTGAGAATAATGTACCTAATAAATGTAAAGCATTTCTTCATAGCCTACTGTCTTCTCTCCTTGTGATTATCACAAAGGCTATATCTAAATGGAAGCCTTTTCTCCCCAAACTATCCAGGACAGATGGCCTGGAAAAAACACAATTGCACCATTATGCTTGAAGTCACCACAAAGGCAGTTAGGCATCATATTTGCACAAGTCAGGGAAGGGTTAATTCTAGGAGGCATTTCTTATAACATTTCCCAGGCTTCTCAGCACAAAGACTTCTTTTATTATCCAGCTCCTCCACTCCACCCTAATGCAGAATTCATGTTTTCAAATATGCTAACAAACCTAGTTGCATTTAGTAAGTAACAAGTAATGAGCTTTTCCTTATTTTATTAACAAAGATGGCTGCAGGCTCAGAGAGGGCCAGGGTCTGAGTATAGCTGTGCCACTTACTGGCTGAGTGATCTCAGATAAGTTACACAACCTCCCAAAGCCTCAATTTCCTTCTCTGTGAAGTGGGGATACTAACATAAACTGACATATAGGGCTGTTGTGAGGATTAAATGAGTTAATCCCTGTAAGGCAACTAACCCATTTTTGCAACAATTATTATCCTCAATAATAGTAATAATAGGTATTATTGCTGGCCACAGTTTGTCTCCACTGTGAGAGAGTCTGTGCTATGACCTAAGAGTCTAATTCACCCCAAAGCACAGGTACTTGACATTTTTCCTTTCAATCAACAGTTTTTGGATGGTGAAGACATCATGATGAGCCTGTACAGACAAGCCTTTTCAAAAATGCCAAAAAGAGTTCACAAATGCAAAGTAGTATAAAATGCAAATCAGTCACTGCCTTTGGTGGGGAGGACTATGCATGGACAGACACTAAGCACTTGGCTGCTGGAGGGGGTGTGCCTCAGGCTGTACTTGCTCTGTGTGGATGAGGCCCTGGAGGCTCAGAGCACAGGTGAATACAGTGACTGCACTGAAGTGCCTAGACCTCTGCATTCTGGTGTGGCTGCTCTGTGTCTTGGGTCCCAGCTCTCTGAGAGGTTTCATTCACTTGAGATGGTATCTGGGTGTGCTCTGAACTGAAGAGAGACTGGTTCTTTCCATGCTCGTTCCATCCATTTCATACTGGATGCCGACCACTTTAGCTTCCAATGACCTCAGGCCTGGCACCTTTGATCTCCTTCTGTCCCAACACTGCAGGCAGGTTTTCTAGCACTTTGACAACATGACTATCTTTGGAAGGTTACATCACCCTCCAACTTTATCCAAAAGGCTTCCAAGGTAGTAGAGATCTGCAGCTGAGAGGCTTTCTACTAAAAAGGAGACGGAACAGGGAGAGGGTAGGGATGGGGGGGCCCTGGAAAAACAAACCAAGGAACAAAAATAGCCTTTGCTCTGAAATCCCCTGGCTGCTGCTGACGAAATCTATCATGCCAGCACATCTCCACAGTGACCAGCACTGAAGACAAGTTTTAAAAACAGTGCTGATTACTCTGGCCTGCTCACATGGTGTAATGACTTCCTCAGTCTTCCAACATAATGGGCCAATGAGTTAACCTCTCTTGGCTTCAGCTTCCTGACTTGCAATGGCAAGTGTCTGGCAAGGGAAGTTGAGAGAATGCAACAGTGAAGTGGGTACAATAAAGTATATCTCAATAAAAATCAAAACCAAACTCATTGCCTTCAAGTTGATTCTGACTCACAGTGACCATATAGGACAGAGCAGTACTGCCTCATAGGGTTTTCCAAGGCTGTAAATCTCTACAGAAGTAGACTGCCACATCTTTTTCTCTCAGAGCAGCTGGTGGACTCAAACCGCCAACCTTTTGGTTAGCAGTCAAGCACTTAACCACTGCATCATTAGGGCTCCTTACAAAACCCAAAGCCAAACTCATTGCCTGTAAGTCAATTCTGACTCATGGTGACCCCTTGTGAAGGGACCTGGTATTATTAAAGAGACGGACAGACTTTTCAGGAAAGTTGTGTGTGACTAATCCCAATCATAAAATTATAAATTATTTCAAACGGCCACAAAAATATCCTTGGACACAAAGTTCTAGAGTGCTGATAACATTTCTCAAATTGAGTGCTGATTACACAAGTATATTCAGTTTGTGAAAATTCTTTGCACTCTTATGATAATGCATACTCTTTTTCCTATGTATGTTATGTAACAGCTCTCTTTCCACTTCCTCCTCGTAGTTACCTCTTCCCTGTGTCCTACCTTCCCATACACTCCCGCCCCATGAACTATCTCCCTGTGCAAACATTTCCCTTCTTTTCTCCCAGAATTGATCTCTCCAAGGAATGTATCTGTAAATGTTCACTCTATATGCCTGTCTACTGTTTGGCTGGAAGTCACAGGAGTGAGTTAAGTTCTAAATTTGAAGGGTAATCAAGGGCCATTTTAAAAGACTTTTTAAAACATCATTTGAGGTGAGTAATGGAAATATAGTTATTTCTGATTCTGGCTCCTTCTACCTGTTGTAAAATTTGGCTTTGCAATGGCAGGACAGGGACAGAACATGGGGGGACTTGAATTTGCTCCAGGTGCCAGACTCAGGCTAGTCTCCCAAAGCCAATTTGCTGTCTGCCATATGGACCGTCAATTCCCAGCTCCATGCCTTGTGCCAGCAGCTCAGGTTCCTGACATCCCAGAGATAGGGAATCAACTACTTGGTACCTTTTATTCTCTTTTTAGCTGCTAAGCGCAGACACAGACCATCATTTCATATGTGGGAAACTCCCATATCTGGATGTAATCATCACCTTACACCAATGGATGTGTATAGCATCTATTAAAACTCCTTTCAACCTCCTATCCACATGGCTAATATTTTTCAGGACTCCAATGTAATATGGAGTAAGTCAGTAAGTGAAAATATCTCTATTCACACTGGTTAGTGAAGGAATTAGAAATGCCTCACTCCTACTGAATAACTGTGGAGTACATTCAATGTTTTGTTATCTTTTGAGAGATTAAGACTCAGAAGTAAGCAGTTCCCTTGCATTCCTTTCTAATTTCCTCAGGGCCTCTGAGCTAGGGTCAATCAGAAATGGTTTCTGAATGAAATGTCCCAGTATTGCTGTGTGGTATTCAAAGATTCTCACCACCCTCCAATAATGTTTATTTGCACACTGGGTGTGTATGCACCCAGGGAAGGTGGGCCACATGCAAGCACTTCCAATACAAAATGAACCATAAAGACGGCTGGGACTGTGACAAGAGTCTCTAGGAAGATACTGGTAAAGGACAGTGCTTTCAGCACTCCTGCTCTCTCCCCTTCCCAACCGCACCAATGCCCTGCAACTTACCTCCTCCGGTCTGCTCAGCACATGGCCTTCTGGGCCAGTTATCCCCATTTCCAACATCCGGCTTTGCTCCTGGAATGATAAAAGAATAGACAATTTTGAAATGAGCTCAACTGAGGCTTGGAAAATTTAGGCAGTATGTTCTGTTCTAAAGATGTGCTCAAGGGAAAAGAGAACAAGATATACACGTTAAGAAATTTATTGATTCTGTATTTGGAGTTGCAAAATAGGGTAGAGTTTTTACTTAAAGGAGAAAAGACATTTACTGATGACTTGCTTTCATTAAAATATTTAGTCTGTTAGAGTATCTTTTTTTTTTTTTCTCTACATTACCCATGAAAAGTCACACCATCTCATTCTTCATCTCTCAGACCTTGCTACCTCCAAAAAAGAATTTGTTTAATTCACTGTCACATTCCGCATTTGCTTTCAACAGTATTGAGTGTCTGCTTCTGCTTGGTTCTGGGTTGAGTACTTGAATGTCATGTTATGCCTGACCTCTTGAAGTTCAGTATGGTCTATCTACCACCTACATCAGAATCACCTTGGTTGCTGTTAAAAAAATGACAATTTCTGGCCCAATCCAAGCCTACCAAATCAGAATATGTGGGGTTGAAACTTAGAAGTCTGCATTTTAATAAGCCCTTCAAACTTTTATGCTTTAAATCTTTGGTTGAATAGATTTAGAATTTAACCAGATAAAATAATGCCTCTAAACAGCATCTGTTAGTCTTTAGGTCAAATTTCAATTAACCATGTTGTAGCCATGGCAGAATAACTGATCCTTTTGGCTGATGGCTAAATTCCTAAGACTTCTGGCCAGCTTTCAGAAAGAAGTAGTTGGCTAGGCAGTGAACACATACATGAGCTAATTAGAACTGGCAGAAATCCTAAACCATCATATCTTTGGCTTTGCTGGCATTCACTCTCAAATTACTAAGGCCAGTTCCAAAGTGCCTCTATACCAATAAGCTGGCCCAGTGGCCTGGGAGTATGCTAGTGATGAAAGAGGGAGGTAAACTCAATTAAGCTTTGTCTCACTTTGAAACTATGAGCAATTCAGAGAGGCAATGATTCCTTCCTCTTGGACAAGATGAACTTTTTTGTTTGTTTTTTAATAACAAATTATTCTAAAGGCAAGGAAATGTACATATTATAAGCAATCATGAGACATAAAATGTTTATACTTCTACTTTTTTTTAAATTTTTTCTTGTGATTTGGATGAAAATTTACAGAGCAAATTCATTTTTCATACAGCATTTCATACACATTTTATTTCATGTCATTGACTGCAATTCCCCACAATGTAACCGCTCTCTTTCCACTTTCTACCAGTAGTTATCTCTTCCCTGTGTCCTACCTTCCCATGCAATCCCGCCCCATGAACTATCTCCCTGTGGAAACACTGCCCTTCTTTTCTCCCAGAATTGATCTCTCCAAGGAATGTATCTGTAAATATTCACCCTATATGCTTGTCTATTGTTTGGCTGGAAGTCACAGGAGTGAGTTAAGTTCTAAATGTGAAGGGTAACCAAGGGCGATAGTCTCATAGATCTCACTAGGCTCTATCAGACCAGCAAACGTTTTCTTTTTTTTATGACTTTAAGTTTTGTTTCACATTGTTCTCCCACTCAATCCAGGATCTCCTGCATTGATCCCTTTCTGAGTGGTTGACAGTGGTAGCTGGGCACCATATTGCATGGTCTACTAGTCCCATGGACAAATTGTTTCCATGTGTCTTTGGTTCTCTTCATTCTTCTTTGCTCTGGATGAAGAGAGACCTATTGTTGCATCTAGATGGCCGCTTGCAAGCTTTAAAGACCCCAGTAGTTACTAACCAAAGTAGGATGTAGAACAGTATTTTTGTGTAGTATGTTATGCCAATTGAGCTTGATGTCCCCTGCGACCACGGTTCCAAGCCCACATATCCAACTACTTGCTCTCTCAGGGTAGCTGGCTGTGGCCAAGAAGCCACCACAACATTGCCCCTTGTTAGCTGTACTATACCCTCAGACATTTTTACAGCTCATACAAATATGCAGGTAGAAACATTGTCTGCCAACCCTATACATGGTCATGGGCACACTCCCCCCTGCCTAGATATACCTGATTATTCAGCCTGTCCACCAATCTATCCACCCATGTATCAATGCTTGCCATCACTGACAACGCAGTACTGTACATGCAAAAGGGTTCACCTTAGTTGCCTGTACTTCCTGTGTTCCTCCCTATGTCTTCCTCTTCCTCAGTTTTATCCTTGTTCTCTGCGGGTGGTTTGCATTTCACTACTATCCTAAAGGTTGGTGATTCAAACCCACTCAGCTGCATGGAGGAAGTAAAGCCTGGCAATCTGCATCCATAAATCTATAGCCAGGAAAACCTTATGCACCAAGCAATTCTGTTCTGTAACCCATAGTTCACCATGAGTCAGAACTGACCCAATAGTAATGGGTTTTATTTGATTTTTAATCTTTTATTGAAATTTGGATTGAATGAAAATTCTTCCAATCTCTGATGAATTTCCATTCTGAACTTCCTCCTGAAGTCATAAGGGTTAGGGTCTCCAAATAAAGTATCTTCAGCCTTCTATGACACTTTCACTTCTATCTTATTTAACAGTGCTAAGGCAAGAGTTTGGACAATGAATAAAGAAGACCGAAGAAGAGTTGATACTTTTGAGTTGTGGTACTGGTGAAGAATGCTGAAAGTACCATGGACTGCTAAAAGAACTAACAGATCTGTCCTGGAGGAAGTGCAGCCAGAATGCTCCTTGGAAGCAAGAATGGCCAGACTTCGTCTCACCTATTTTGGTCATGTTGTAAGAAAGGACCATTCCCTGGAGAAGGATGTCATGCTAGGTAGGGTGGAGGGTCGACGAAAGAGGGGGAGGCCTTCAACGAGATGGATTGATACGGTGGCTGCAATGATGAGCTCCAGTATAGCAGGGATTATGGGGCTGGCGCGGGATAGGGCAGTGTTTCGTTCTGCTGTGCATGGGGTCACTATGAGTCGGAAACGACTCGACGGCACTTAACAACAACAACAACAACAACAAGGCAAGAGAGCTAGCATAGGATGAGACCAGAATCAGAAGTGGTTTCTAAGCACATTCAGATCAACAGGAGGAAACTTTCAAAATACAGTTGTCTAAAATCTGTTGTTGTGATTATTGTATGCTGGTGAGTCAATTCCAAATCTGGCTGATGAGTTTGAACCACCACCCTTTAGGTTAGCAGCTGAACACTTAACCACTGTGCCACTAGGGCTCTTTGTCTGAACTGTATTACTCATCAATGAATAAGAATCTCTGGAACTAAACCAGGAATCTTTCTTTAAACTCCAGATTCTGCTTAAAGATTCTGATGCACAGCCCAAATTGGAAAGTCCTATTCTAAAAGTCTAAAGGCCCAATGATGCCTCCTTGCATGGGAAGAGGAGCAGGGGGCACTCTGATATGATGCTATAATCACATCACAGTTTGGGTCACAATGCAACTGCAGCTTGCTCCATAATGAAAGGGACTGTGACTTTTTCATCTTCTCTTTCCAAGACATGGCACATAATAAGTGCACAATAAATATCTGTTCAATGAATGGCTAAAGACACTATGTGCTCTGATTGTCCTGTCAGGTTGAAATTTTTTAAAGCATTGTTTGTACCCAAAAGAACAGATTTCTTCTCATTCTTGAGTCCTTTTTGCATACAAGCAGCCAAAGACTGAGTGTAGCAGCTGCCTTCACTGGAACAACATGAGAAAATTTTTCAACTCAAGTTCAATGTAATAAACACACACACAAAACTCATCCAAATGGAATATACCTTTATTCGTGTCCTGACTGGGAACAGTTCTGTGGTGGTTAAGTTTGTCTGTCAACTTGGCTAGGCCTGGTTGAGTGGCTATGCAGCTAGATGGGCTATTCCCCATGATGAGACTGGTAATCAACTCCATGGTGGAATCTACTGTGAGCAGCTGAGTAGCTGCCTTTGGGTGTATGGTCTGCTTCCTGTAAATAAGAAACAGCTTTGGGAATGGTCTCTAGCTTATATGCTTGAACCCTGCATGTAGCTGAGTTGTCATTCAGCAGCCTGCCATGCTCTGCCAATCCTGGGACTTTCAGTGGACTTGAATCAATGGCCTGCCATGTGGTTTGGTAACATCAGGTAACATCATTTTATTTGTCACTTGGGCTTGTTAGCCTCAGCAGCCAGTAGCTACCTGAGTGAAGAGATGCCTCTAGCTTCAGTGGGCCAGGAGCAAGAGGTAGAGCTGCAGCCCAAGGTCGAGGGGCTTTCACACAGCCCCTAGAGCCTGGCACTTTGAACTTGGACTTCTAGCCTCCCAAACTGTAAGATAGTAAACTCCTGTTTGTTCAAGCCATCCCATTTGTGGTATATTCCTGGCAGAGCGGTACTAGGTAACCAGAACAATTTTTTTCTGAGGTAAGGACTGAGGACATTAGAGATGCTTCTGTGCTTAAGGAGCCACAAGAGGAAAGGACTTGGGAAAAGGGACTTTACATTGGACCCCATTTGTCTCCGGGGAATCTAGAATGAGAAGCTGGGAGTCATTGCCTACAGCAGCTGGAAGGAGAGCTGGGACCTCTGGCCGCTGTTCTGGAAACTTGGAGAAGGGGGAGGAGTGTTAGCCCTACCACCACTGGGATCCCTCCTATGGGAGTAAGAAATTTTGACCCTCTCTGGAAAACAGTTTCATTATTTTGGGTATGTGGGGGATATGGAGAAGGTACTATCAGCAGCCTGGCTGACAAAGCTTCCTGGTCATATGAGAGGAAAAAACTGCACACATAGCTCTGATTCTCCACCAGCAGGACAACTGTCATTCTGAAATCTCAACAGCTGGAACCCTGCACTGTTGAGGTGCTGCCTCCCTGTGGAGGACTTTGACTGGGTAACTGGGGCAAGGGGCCACAGATGTGCCACCTCTGAGTAAAGATGCCCACTAAGGTATATCACCTTTGGGGCTAAGATTTGGCTCTACCACTGTATGATTTGGACTAGTGATCTAAGTATTCTGAGCCTCAATGTTCTTGTCTATAAAACAGTAAGGATGAAAGGCATCTTTAAAGAGTTAGGGAAGGTTAAGTGAGAACATCCTGGAACACTTACCAGTGCCTTGTATTAATATTAAGTGTTTGCCTATTGCTACTGCTATGTGACACCAGTGGTGACTGTGGCAATATTGACAATAGTTAAAAAGGTGGAAACAACTAAATGTCCATCAAAAGGTGAATAGACAAAATAGAGTGTAGACATGCAATGGAATATTACTCAGTTGGTAGGAGAAATGAAGTCTGTCACACAACATGGGTGAACCTTGAGTGAGGCAAGTAAGTCACAAAGGGCAAATGTTATATGATCTCACTATTATAAAATACCTAGAGTAGGCAAATATATAAAAGACCAAAGTTTAATAGTTGTTACCAGGAAGGGTAATGGAAATTTAGGCAATGGATATTGATGATGGTTGCACAACATGATTAATTTAATTACTATCACTAAATTGTACATGTGAAAAATGTTAAATAGGTAAGTGTATTATACACATATTTATAGCATTTTTTTGTTTTGTTTTAAAGAAACATGCTATGACTATTCAACAAGCTAAGGGGTCTGAGATTCAGGTCAGTGTAAACATTGTTCTTACACCCTTGCTGACCACATTCACCAAGTTCTGGCCAACTTCTAAAACAAAGGCACAACCTAAGCACTTAGGAGATATGGAATGCATCTGTTTTGGCTCACTTCTACAGCACTGTGTCTGGTCCAAAGTGTTCAGGCAATACTCTTTGAAAGAATGAATAATTGTTTCTGCTGTTAATGTTATCAAATGGACTAAGAGAGCTCACTCTTCTTTTCTGGCTGCCTCCTGCCAGGAGAGGCCAATCCTGATTGTTTCTGAGATAAACAAAGCCCTTTCCCAAGACACATCTGTGCATCTATCCCATTAGTCAGCCCAGGAGATGGAGAGAGTATGGCCTTCTGCTTCCTTGCAAATGATCAATTTGGGCCTTGGGGCCCTCACTTTCATCACTCTTTCCTCAGGTCTCTCAATATAATTTCTAGGAAACCAGTGGGATGGCTGATCCCCACAAGACCTCAGTTCTTTATTATCTAAGGCAGTGAGTTCCGGAGACCTGGATGAGATTTATGGTTTCAGAGAAATAATGCCTGAAGGTTTTCCTCTAGGATGGAGACTGTCACGTAGCTTTGACTCATTGTCAGAACAGTATCAGCAAACGCTTCCCCACTGAATGGTTCAATTTTAAAACCTCCTTTCAGGACACCATTTCTGATTCTACAAAATGTGAGATCTCTTTCTATTTTACAGCATCTTCTACTTTCTTCCTTGCTTGTCTACTTTTCCCTCTCTTCGATGGTGAGGCTCTTTAGAGCATGTACTGGGCTTAGCTGCAACAGAGCACTTATGACTATGCCTCATACACATTGAAAGTTCAAGCAATATTGAAGAAATAAGGAAACAAAGGGAACACAGACCCAAGCCTATGCAAAAAACATATTACAAGAAGCTAGACAGCTGTTACCTGGGCAATGATATCCCCATTTTCAGCATGAACTTGGGCAATGGCCCCCAGCTCTCCCAGGCAGCTGAAGATCTCATATAGCTGAAATAGAAATGAACTTTTGTCACCTTCACAAGTCACTGATGCTTTTAGCAATCTAACAAAAAGGCTGATGACTAAATTCAGAGCTAAAAACAAATGGTATGAGCTGAGGAAACCGCCTAGGGAGGAAATGCAGCCCAAAACACAGATGAACAAAAGGAGTGCTAGTCTAATACAACTCTAGAAAACAGTAAATTACCCTAGAGTCTTTCTAGGTAAAGAGGGCAGATATACAGAAAGTGCTACCAACCCCTCTGCCCTGCCTCTGGCATACATTTTTTTTTTTTTTCTCATGGTCTTCTTTTTTTTTTTTTTTATTAGGATTTGGGTGAAGATTTACAGAGTAAATTCACTTTTCATACAGCAGTTCACATATACTTTGTCTCATGTCATTGACCAGAATTTACAATGCAGCAGCTCCCCTCCCACTTCCTCCCCATAGTTACCTCCTCCCAGTGTCCATCCCTTCATAATCTTCAAGAGGCCCATTGTCTGCCAACCCTGTATATGATCTTGGATACACTCTCCATTTAGACATACATAATTGTTTAGCTTGTTCACCCATCTATCCGTCTCTATACCCATGTTTGCTTTCATTGACAACTCAGTATTGTATTTACAAAGGGGTTCATATTTGTTGTTTGTACTGCCCATGTAACTCTCTCTGTCTTTCTCATCCTCAATGATGCCATATTGGTCACTCACATTTGGTACATTGCCCTTCTCTTCACCCAAATCAATATTTATCCCTATCTATCTAACAGCATTCCCTCCCCTTCCCTCCCACCCCTGGTAACCAACAAAGAAAATGTCCTCCAATATATAAACCTTTCCTTAACTTTCACAATAATGGACTAATACAATATTTGTCCTTTTGTGACTGACTTATTTCACTCAGCATAACGTCCTCCAAGTTCATCCACGTTATGCGGTGTTTTGCAGATTCTACATTATTCTTTAGCGTTGCATAGTATTCCATTGTGTGAATGTACCAAAGTTTGGTTATCCATTCCTCAGTTGTTGGACATCTAGGTTGTTTCCAAGTTTTGGCTATTGTAAATAGTGCTGCGATGAACATCGGCATCTGGCATACATTTTTAATGGAATTATTACCCATTGAGGGAGCTCTGGTGGCACAGTAGTTAAGGCATTTGGCTGCTAACCAAAAGGTTGGTAATTCAAACCCACTAGCTGCTCCATGGGAGAAAGATAAGTCAATCTGCTTCCAGAAAGATTTACAGCCTTGGAAACCTTATGGGGTAGTCCTACTCTGTCCTATAGAGTTGGAGTCAACATGACAGCAGTGGGTTTTATTTCCCACTGAGCTGAGATCGGACTTCAGAATCCTTCTCAACAAATGTTCTAGAAAGCTACAACCACCTGGTCAAAAGCCAACCCAAAAGCTGAAACCCCTGCTGCTTAACCTCTCAGTATAGACCTACTTTCACCTCCTAACCAGGATACGTGGGAATACATTTCTTGTATTCCTATGAAAACCTGAAATTTATCTGAAACAATCACAGCAGAAGTGCTTCTTTAATCCTGCAAGGGTAACAACCTCACACTTCCACTGACCTTGCAAGGGGTTTGGAGTTTGGCAGATGTAGATTTAAGCTCTTCTTGATATACTTTTGAGGAAGATGCTGCCAATGGGAATTCTAGCTCCCTTTCTATATGGCCACGGGCATCCTGCCATTCTTTTATTTAAAATGCAATACAGACTACAAGGACTTCAGTGAGCACCCTGGCCCAGGGTCTCCCACAGTGACCACAGTGACTCATATAAAAAGAGCCAAGGTCATCAGCAAAAACAGAAAACCCATCCAGCTACCCCAAACCACACAGTAAATGGGTTGTTACCTCTGTGTTGGACACTTGATACAAATCCTTATAGGCCATATAAACCATGAAGGAGTTAACTCCTGTAAGAGAGGGAAGAGGTAGGGGAAAATAAGAGAAAGAACATGATCACAACCAGTCTCCACCCTCTGCAATCACTTCTATCACCCATGATGGAATGATAATTATAATGTAGACTCTTGTCCAATGCAAACAGATACCTTTCTTCACATTCTTGGAGAGCATTTTTCTGTGTGTCCAGTTCCTCCACTCCCACACCATAAAATCAACAATTCCTGTGTGATATCAGCCAAACGGCATCTGCTTCCATACCTCTTTCTCACCTCTCTCCCTCAAGCATTTGATAGTAGAGGGCCAATATGTTTTGATATCATTTTAGGCAGTATTTATCATAAAGGGTCACTGTAGCATTGTAGTTGTGTTCAGACACTAGGGTTACACCACCTGGAATCTACCACATACTAGTTCAATTAACTTGGACTATTCAACCTCTCTGAGACTTGGTTTCTTCATCTGTAAAATGGGAACAATAATAATATCCTTCTTCATAAGGTGGTTGTGAACATTAAATGAGATAAAGCATGCAGAGCTCTTAGCATCAGCCTGGCACATATTTGGTCTCCATTGACGGATCCCCTGGGGATTAGTTTATGTCACTATCAAATGAATGTCTGCTATACAGTAAGCCTGTGTAGGATGTTAGATCCAAGAAGAGAACTAAGATAAATGTTGCCCTTAGACAACTAACAGAGAAAACGGACAGAAGGTGTTAAGGATTGAATTGTGTCCCCAAAACTACATGCTATAATTTAAATCCTAACCCCTATACCTGTGGATAAAGAACTCTAGTGGTACAGTGGTTAAGTGCTCACTGAAAGCTTAAAGGTCAGCAGTTGGAACTCACGGGCAATTCATGAGAGTAGCAGGCTGCTCTCATAAAAATTTCAGCCTTATGGGGCAGATCTACTGTATCCTAAAGGGTCACTATGGGTCAACATTGACACGATAGCAATGTGTTTAGTTCCTTTTGGGTATATCTGTGGTTATAATCTTATTTGGGAATGGGTTTTCTTGGTTATGTTAATGAGGCAGTATCAGTGTAAAGTCAATCTTTTTTGAAATATAATAGCAGTTAATAAGCAAGCTGCAAAAGAGCAGAGATGGGAGAGACAGATGGCATGCCACTTGAAGATCTTCAAGAAGAGAAGCTCAAAAGAGACAAGGACTTTGTTCCAGAGCCTTCACCTAGAGCCAGTGCCCTGAATTTGGACTTTTAGCCCCCTAACTGTGAGAAAATAAATTTTTGTGTTAAAGCCACCCACCTGTGGTATCTCTCTTATAGCTGTTGTTGTTGTTGTTATGTGCTGTCACATCGGACCCGACTCATAGCGCCCCCTCCTTGGGTTTCCGAGGCAGTATCACTACGGAAGTAGATTGCCTAACCTTCCTTCCGAGGAGTGGCTGGTGGGTTTGAACCGCCAGCCTTCTGGTTAGCAGTCAAGTACCTTAGGCACTACGCTACCAGTAGGCGAGTTTTACCTGAAGTCTAATATCCAAGTCCTAAGGGTTATAAAGGGGCTCTGGTAGTCCAGTGGTTAAAGCATTCAGCTGCTAACCAAAAGGCTGGTTGTTTAAACTCACCAGCTTCTCAGTGGAAGAATGATGAGGCAGTCTGTTGCTGTAAAGATTTACAGCCTTGGAAACTCTATGGGGCAGCTCTACTCTGCCCTATAGGATCATTATGAATTGCAATCAACCCAATGGCAGTGGGTAAGGGTTATAAGGAGTCCTTGTTAGTGCAAATAGTTAAGGAGCTCAACTGCTAGCCAAAAGATTAACAATTTGAGTCCATCGAGAGATAACCTCAGAAGAAAGGCCTCTGATCTAATTCTGAAAAATGAGCCATTAAACACTGTAGAGGCAGTTGTTCATGGAGATAATCAGCAACACATTCCATTTTCTTCTCCCATCCCTAACTCTCCTTCTTTCTTTTTTGCTCCAGATGAACAGACACCAATTGTGCCTTGGATGTTGCCAAAACTGGATGATGCCCAGCTACTATTACTGAACATTTTAATGAAATATTCTATAGAAGAATTTTTATCAAAAGGGTGAAAATGCAGAACAATTTGAAATTATCATGGAATCCACAAAGGCTGAATATGTCCCTTGAACTATTGCCCTGAGATAATCTTTAAACCCTCATCCAGAAATATCCCCTGAAGTCTTCTTAAAATTAAACAATAGTATAGCTTAACTAGTAATGAATGTCTGCCTTGGGCATTATGCTCTTTTAAGATCTATCTCTTTGGGACCAAAATGACAACAGCAACCAGAAAGATTAGACAGATTCCTTAGAGGGCAGTAAGTTTATATTAACAGGGGAGGAACAACTCAGAAGAAGTATGTGAGAATGTAAACAACTCAAAGAATGTAATCAATGTCACTGAACTGTACCTGTAGAAACTATTGAATCGGTGTAAGTTTTGCTGTATATATTCTCAATAAAGGAGCTCTGGTGGCTGCTAACCAGGTCAATGGTTCAAACCTACCAGCTGCTCTGCAGGAGGATGAGGCAATCTACTTCTGTAAAGATTTACAGCCTTAGAAACCCAATAGGTCACTATGAGTTGGAATTGATTCCCTGGCAGTGGGTATTCTCAACAATAACAAAATAAATTATTTATCTTTTAAAATAACCCTATTAAGCACAATTCCACTCTGACACACATGGGGTCACTATGAGTTGGGATCAACTTGACAGTCACTACTTTTTTTTAAGGGTTATAAAGAAAGAGCTATTCAATTTTGAACCAAAATAAATGGATTAATACTGTGATTTACAGAAATAGATAGGAATGGTGAAGAGAGGATCATTTTTGGGAAAAGAAGACAATTTTGGTCTCCAACCATTAGGGCCATCTCAGCCTACAGCACTCCAAGCCAAAAATGGATTGTAATTGGAGAACTTCCCTACACAGAGTGGTTCACCTCAGGGCAGTTTTCTCAACACTACCCTTCCCACAAGCCTCTGTGTTATCCATGGAATGACCCATGCTTTTTGGCAGGGAAGTGTATATTGAAGTCATTTAGTTCTCTATCCCATGTGAGATGTTCAGTGTAAAAGGAGACATAAGGGAGAAGGGAAGAAGCTACTTTCACATTCTGCATCATGAAGGACGTAGTCACTAGGACCACACAGGGCTCAGAGGGTAAGGAAGGAATCTCATCCTCTAGGAAATGTTCCTTTATCCCTGTCTTCCACTGAGCCCCTAACATTTATGTCTAGATTACTCATTTAGTAACAGTGTTTGCATCATATAGTATTTATCTGTTTGTTCTTCATTAGCCTGCTTCCCTTCATTTAGATGTTCAGCAATGACCATGGCTTATACTTCCCTATATCCTTTAGGCCACCTTACAGTGGTGAGCATATTGCATGAATGTGGGCATACATGGGAGGGAGTAAAAAATAAAATATCTGTTGTTCAAAAAGCAGAAAGAATTAGAGAGCAGAAGAATTGAAGACAGCACTGGGAACCTAAATCGCATACTCACTGAAAGGTTATACACACACATACATGAACTTGTTTCATTCCCCAAGCTGCTAGCCTGAGTGTCAACAAAATCCTTGCTCCCAGACATTCTTGGTCTTTCTGACAGTGCCATTGTTATATGATAGTAAAAGTTTGATCTTTGGAGTAAAAGCAATAGGGGTTTAAAATCCTTAATCTCATGTTTACAAACATGTGACTGTCAGTAAAGTGAATCTCTCCTAATCTCAGTTTCTTCCTCTGTAAAAAGGGCAGTATTGCATGGAAGAGAAGAGCACAGACTTTGGTTAGAGCTATTGCTTACTAAGTCTCTTGAACCAGTTATTTTGAGCCTCAATTTTTCCATCTACAATGGGAAGATGACAACTCCTATCTCATAGGGGTCCTAGGAGGAGTAAGTAGGATCACATCAGTAAAAATTAAATGTCTAGAACACAGTGGTACCCATCTGTGCTCACACTCAAGGTTCTAGGCCCCAAGCAAGGGGAAGTAACTCAAATAGGTAGATGATGGGAGAAGGAAGGCCAAGGGAGAAGCCAAAGGAAAAGGGCAGAGGGCATGCTCAGACTCACCTTTGTCCTTGATAAGGTTCTGCACTTCCTGTTTGACACTGTCATTCCAGTGAGTGATGTCCACATGCAGGGCATAGTCACAGCAGCTCTTGCCATCAGCCCACTCTCGCCACTTCTCATAGGCCTCCGTCAAGCCAGACTCAGGCTCTGGCACCACGTGGTCAACTGAAGAACAGAAGCATCAGATGGGAGACCCACTGGCACAGCCTTTTCTCTCCTCTGTACAGGCCTGCTCCCACTTGCTTAACTGCAGCGGGAAAACCTCCACTTCATAAAATGGGATCTACCTTAGAAAGTGCCCCTGGTAGTTTCAAGGCTGCTGAAGATTTAAATTCTACTTAGCTATATGATCTTAAGTAAGTTACTTGCATCTTTATAGCTCAGTTTTCTCATCCTTAAAATGAGTGCTGAGTGGGACAGTATTTAATAGTGCTTTCTTTCAAGATATTTTATAAGATTAAATGGGGAAATGCTTATAAAGTGCTTCACCTGATGTCTGGCACATAGTAAGTGTTCAATAAAGGTTGTATCAATGAGTACCTACTCTGTGTAATCCCATGACAGAATAGAGCTTCCCCATAACATTTCCTTGGCAGTAATCTTTATGGAAGCAGATCGCCATATCTTTCTCCTGTTGAGCTTCTGGGTAGGTTCAAACTACCAACCTTTCAGTTAGAAGTCGAGCACTTAACAATTGTGTCACCAGGGCTCTTTACTATGTGCCATGGTTTTTAATATTTTGGGCAGTCACTGTTAGTGATAAAAGTCACACTTCTTTCTAAGGATGGAAGGAAGTGTTTTAAGGTTATGTTGGAGCACGAGAATTTTGCATCCCACTGCTTTTTGCAGTAGAAAAAGTGAACCTGACACCAGATCCATGTGTCTTATTTCCATGTTAATTTTTTTTTTTTTTTGTCTAGGATCTGGTTTCTTTGAGGTTCAAACTTATTCTTTTAGTACCCACAACAATGGATAATTATTTTAAAAATAATAAATATTCAGTTGGTGGGCATATGGCAAATATTACACTCTTGTATGTTCCCCTGGGCAACTGGGGAGGAGTATCAATTGGTACAACCATGCTGGAGCATAATTTTGAAATATATATCACATATATCATAGATATTGACATCTGTCATACTTTTTACTCAATGACTCTATGCCTATGAATTATTCCAAAGTAAATAAATATGGCTGTATTCAATTTCTGGTCTTTGGATGTTTGCCACTACATTATTTATGTAAGTGAAAAACTGGAAACAATTGAAGCCTTTTACAATATGAGGAGATTGGATTAAAAAATAAATCACAATACCTTGATAAAATGATCACTATGTATCTATTTAAAATTCTGGGATAGAATAAAACTAAAGGAATAGAAAGATATCCATGACATATTATTTAGAGAAAACAGCAGTTTGAATTATAGTACTATGCTATGATTCTGTTTTAGTTAAAAGGAAAAAAATATGCATGGAACATTTTACTCGTGTTAAGGGATTATGGATTTTCTTTCCTTTCATTCATTTTTGTGTGTGTACATATAGAGGGTCAGAGCAAAAGAAGACCTTTAATGGGATGGATTGACACAGTGGCTACAACAATGGGCCCACACAAGCTACTACTCTGAGGATAGCCCAGGATCAGGCAGTATTTCATTCTGCTGTCCATTGGGTTGATAGGAGTGGAGTCAACTCAATGACAGTGTGAATCTAGTATTTCATCTGAATTATCTATGGAGGAGATGCATACTTCTGTGGTTCTCTGCATGCTTTATTCTCTTATTACCTAGAACTTTGACTTTTCTCTGGCCCCTTCTGTAATGCAAGAGACCAAGCAACTAATACCCATCTCAAGGACACTGAGCAGGTCCAACTCCTCCACCAGATGTCAGAAAGCCAAGCCAAAATCACTCAGATCCTCAGTCTTCTATCAAAGGCTGCTTGAGAGCAGTTATCGGAAAACAAACGCATGGAGAAACATTATGAACGTCTGGAACCACACCAAGGGCTTTCCTGGGCAGGCAGCTGCTGAGAAGTCAGCTGGCCTCCTCCCTTCAAAGCTGGAGAAAAGTTTTAGTCTCCCTGCATTGTGCCTTTTACGGCCTTGATGACATTTTCTTGGGCTCCCACACCCAGCAATCTGAGGCTGAACCTTCTTGTGCCCCAGTCAAAAGGAAGTTAGACAGTGGATACTTCTAAGGCTCAGGCTGTACATGCTGTTGGGTGGATATATACAGTATTAAAATAAACAATGCTCTGGCTGCCCAAGTTTGTGGCCATGGCTGGAATAGGACCCAATGCATCAGGATTTTACTGGAACAGGGAAGTCTGTCCTGGAATGCTATCTGTCCAGTAATCCAAGGGTATACAACTCCCTAGATTTCTTTGGAATTGCAATATTTATCAGAAAAGAATAAGATCTATAAAAAGGAAATCACTGCTGCAGCTTGGCTAATGCTAAAGATATGAATTGGTCAAAATACAGATCATGTAACACTAAAAGTCAATGAAACCCACTAATTTTCCAATAACTGCAAGTCTCAGTCATCATTCTCTCTGGTATGCTTCCTAGCTCTACTGTTCTAGCAGTGCTCTCTGTCTTCTTTTGCCTAGTACCTAAAGTGGCAGTTAAGGAATAATATTTTGCCTGGTCTTCACACTTTTTAAGTCTACTTTTTCAGGCACTGGTCCAGGCATAATAATTCTGACTCCTTACCCACTGCAGTAGTCAGCTCCCTGTTGCTAAGGCATACAAGACAGGGCCACTGTCCTCATGGGCAGGAGTCCCATGAGTAGGCTCTCTGCATCAATAACGAGCTGTCCATTTCCTCACTGCTACCCTCTTTTCTCCACCACTCATCTGTCAATTTGTCATACTGCAGTGGCTTATATGTTGCTATGATTCTGGAAGTTATGTTACCAGTATTTAAATATCAACAGGATCAACCATGGAGACAGGTTTCAGAGAAGCTGCCAGACTAAGACAGACTAGGAAGAAATATTTGCCAGTAAGTATTTTAAATCAGCCAGTGAGACTTCTGGTAAAATGGTAGATTAGGCAGACAAGCTACACAGACCCTCTTCAACAAGAAAAGAGAAACCAATTGACACAGATACAGAATATAATCCTGGCACCCTGAGCTTTGAAAGGAAGGATACAGAAGTGGATTAAACACCAACTAGTAGAAGAACTTAAATGAAAATAATGAATAATGAGACAAACAGAGGTGCAGACCGTCAGCTATCCTGATGGCACAAAGTTTGAATATTTCCAAGTGCTGTTAGGACCTGAGAATTAACATAAAAATTGGCCCTGTTCACTAACACCTGCATGGACAACTGTGCTGGTGGCTGATGATTGAAAAGGAAAACATCAAAGGAGATAAATTGACCTGTGGAATTTTGTCTGTCTGGAGGGCACAGCCATTTTGAATGTTTATAAGTGGTGGCCATTTTTGGATATTTAAAGCAACAGCATTCTCATTCAGATTCCAGGGAACTAAGAAGAGTCTCTGTTTGCCAAGGACAGCACAGACATAAGGGAAGCTAACAAGTGGAAAAGAGACTAGTGGTGAGTGCATGAAGGCTGCCAAAAGGCAAATATTGGAGCACCATACCTTGCTTACTCTGATACATCCAAACAAAACAAAGAAAATGAAAATCTTAGGCGAATCACTCCAACATACAATCACCAATTAAAAATAAACACAAAAATGTCACAATGTCTTGGAGACAACAGATCATCACAGTCCACACAAACAAGCAAGATAAAGCGGTAGAAACAAGGCACCAGGATACAGAACCAGAAGACATCCTGGAAGAAGAAGCAGCATTGGAACTCCCTGATGAGGAATTCAAAAGAATTATATTTAAGTACTTTCAGTGGATTGAGAGACAGATCAAGGAAAATGCTAACAAAATTAAGGAAAACACAGACAAAACCCTAGAACAATTTTGGAAGACAATACAAGAACAAAATGATAAAATAAATGAAAAATTAGAAATGATAGAAAATCTACAGACAGAAATCCAGAAGAGTAACAATAAATTCTCAGAAATAAATAACACATTGAATGGGCAAAGAAGTAGAATTGAATCAATGGAAGGCAGAATTAGTGAAATTGAAGAATAATACCTCAATATTTCTTTGGAAAGGGCTCAATCAGAAAAAATGGAATCAAAACAAAATGAAGAAAGCCTAAGGTTCATGTGGGATACCATCAAGAGGAATAACCTACATGTAATCAGAATTCCAGAATAGAAAGAGACAAATAAAACCACAGAGAAAACTGTCCAAGATTTTTTGGAAGAGATTTTCCCAAATATGAAGAAAGATGAGAATATAGCCATTCGAGAAGTCCAAAAAACCCCAAACAGGATAGATCCCCCCCAAAAAAATCATGAAGACATATCATCATCAAACTCATCAAAACCAAAGACAAAGAAAGAATACTGAAAGCAGCACAGAAAAAACAAAAAGTTACCTACAAAGGGCATCCAATAAGACTAAGCTCTAATTTCTTGGCAGAACCATGCAGTCAAGAAGGATATGGGATGGCATATAAAAACCCTGAAAGAAAAATATTTCCAACCAAGAATTATATACCCAGCAAAACTGTCCCTCAAATATGAGGGTGAAATTAGGAAATTTCCAGCTAAGCAGAAATTAAGGGAATTTGTAAAAATGAAACCAATCTTACAAGAGATGCTAAAGGCAGTCCTTCAGACAGAGAACCAACAACAGCAAACAACTACCAAACATTAACATATATGATGATATAACCCAAAAACAAACCCAAATATGGAAGTAAATAAGACTACAAGATTGTAAACAGGGAACAAGAGACATTAATTGGCAAATTAAGACAACAACAGACCAAAAAGAGGGAAAAAATAGTGTAGTCACAGAACTTCTAAATGGTGAGGAAGTCAAGACAATTGCAAGATAGAAAGGACTGTTCTAAATTTGGGAAGAAAATTATAAATCACTGGGTAACCTCAAAGAAAAATTATAAACCTTCACATCAAAATAAAAAAGAAGGCAAGCACAAATATTTAGCAAATACCAAAACAACAGCAACAAAGGAAGTGATAACGCAATTCATAAATGAGCTCAGCACGGAAAATTATACAGAACAAACAAATCAACAATGGCACGAAAAA